AAGATAAAATAACGAATACGACAATAAGTTATTGCATGTGACAATTCCGAGCCTTCATCTCACTGAAGTATTTTGAAGTGAAAATAGGATTTTTGTTTTGATACATGGATTCAGATGAACGTAACTTTATTCTGACAACTAATCAACACTGAACAAAATTGATTGTACGTAACAGACAATTTATTGTTTTACAATGTTTTGATTGGCTAAACGAATGAAACCAACAAATTATGACATGTAAAATGACAATTTTGAAATGTAAAATTTAAAAGTGACAAACACAACCTCCCTATCCACTCTTTGGGAGCCCTAGTAAATTAGTACTATGTACACGCAGCAGTGGTAGTGTACAGCTTATTATCACACTACGCTTTGTTTTCTAAAGCCTGTTGTTTGTAATAACACTGTTCACTCAACGTATGTTTTGTGTGTGGGCAGTCAACGATAATCATTGTTTTATCCCGGTCATATGACCTCGGCAATTATAACAGAACCGTACTAAACGAAAAAACGCAAATAAGAGAAAGCTTTCACACACATATAAAAAATGAACTAGTCTAATCCGCCAATATAAACTCTGTGCTATACGTAGCCGGGTCAGGCGCACACTTTAATTCAATTTCACACATTGCAAAATATTTTTTACAATTTCACTTAACAGAATGATATTTTTTCAAAGATATGTTGTACTTTTAGAATCATTTGCTTCAAAGAATTGAACTATGGCGGCCTTTACTCGTTATTTTACGATTTTTGCTGTAACTCGAAAAGTAGTCGAGCGATTTTGTTCATATTTGGTATATGAATACTATAAGCATGGCACACTGTCTAATGACACTTTTGGTAGAAGGCAGCCATTTTGAAAAATGGCCGTCATTTTAACGTATTTTACTATAACTCGAAAAGTAGTAGAGCGATTTTGTTCATATTTGATGCGTGAATACTATAAGCGTGGCACACTGTCTAATGACACTTTTGGTAGAAGGTGGCCATTTTGAAAAATGGCTGCCATTTTTGCTGTATACTTTGTTTGTAAAAAAATGCCAGCCATGGCTGTTCGATGGGATTTGCTACACTTTGGTGTTGCTGTTGTCTAGTTGAAGGATGGATGGACGGACAAATGGAGGGGTCTCTTAGCTTATCCCCTAATCTTCGTTGGATTGAACAATTGTGAATATGGTTTGTTGGACAAATAAAACTGATTGAATGTCTAAAAGCAAATAATGAAGTGGTAATTTATTTAAAATCATTAAAATCTCAAAAATGCTTGCTTTGGTCTAGTCACTTAATTCCTAAATGTCCCGTAATTAGTATCTATATACCTTATTAGATGCAGTGAAGGAGTTAAATCATTGGGATATGAATAAATCATGCAAAACATATTTTGTACATATTTCTCATCATTTAGGGTTACCCAGTAGTTTACAAGCTGACCTTTGCAAAATATATTTCACTTACTATCCTCATTCGCTATCACGCTATCTAGTTTCTTTCCAAATTGGCCTGAATTGCCTGGTTTATTGGTTTTAGCGAACCGTCTGTTTCGTCGAACCATCATTTTGCTAAGGTTGTTTGTGATGAATATACAATATTCAGTTACATATAACTGTACAGCAACTTTATGCAAGGGAAGGTAATTGTGTGAGAGCACAAAAAGTACACGAAGTATTGACCCACTTGTCTCACTGAATCTTATAAACAGTGCATAAAGTTTTTTCTATGCAATGATTGGCTCACAGTTACTTATAGTGTAAGTTATTTTATTTCTATACAGTGTGGAATAGAGTGTATAAACTTTTACAGTTTCAAGCAGGTTTTAGTGTTTTCTGACCAATGATATATTCAGACTTATTCATTTCACGATTATGTAATACTGACCTACATATCTGTATAGCATATCTTTAACGCCAGTTCTGAAGTTTAACGTTCAAAATAAGTAGCGTTAAAGTAGATATTAAAACTTGACGATGGTCTTGCGGTGGTATGGCGGCCGAGGTTCGGTCCTCGCGTGAATTTTTTTAAACTAAATAAATGTGCTTTGATATTACTCAGAAAAAAGTTTTTAATCACGTTAGGGGTCCCAGCCGTTACTTGGCAGTAAGCAACTGGTCTTTTGGCAATCTTTCATTTACATTCGTTTACAACTGTAATTATATTCATATCAGGGCTTCAAGACATGAAGGAAGGATCAATGTTTTATCTATGTGATTTCTGTCATTGCTCTTTCTAACGTCAAACATTCAGGTATCACAAGATGTGTTGCATTCATGCGATCCAAGATAGGATTTCGAGCGCACTATCTTATCCCGTTATCACCGATGTAAGGGTGCCCGCGAACGGCTTCCTTTTCTGATTGTTCGACGGTAAGTGATATTCATACTTGAACTTCCAGGTAGTACAGTGCCCCGAGCAGCTACTTTTCAAAGTCACTCCGTGAGTAGTACAGTGCCTCGAGCAGCTACCCCTTTCTATTCAAAATTCCTTCCAATAGCCATTAGTACAGGGAGTACAGTGCGCAAGCTACCTATCTATGGTATCGCATGATTGGCCGCTCGCCTCTCGTGCTATTTAATAAAACGAGTATTAGACAAAACGAAAGTTGTATTTTACAGCACGTAATAGTTGGTAAAGGCAGTTGTTTTCGGAAAACGAATGCCTGGGTTGAAGCCAAATATATAGGGTGTCTCAAAAAAATGTACCCAAAAGTATATCAACACTATAGACAAACTAATCAATATTTTCAGACATTTTTTGCATGGTCATGTAGCCAAAACATGAAAGTTTTCTCCCAAATACACCACTTTAATTTCAGTTTTGCCTTTTTGATGCTTTAACCCTTTACCTTTTACACCACGTAATCAAAGTAACCTCATATTTGGATGACAGTTTGCATCCTTATTAGTAGTACATTGTTCATCACATTTGATAATTCTGGTGGAATGTTTTGATTTCTGTTGGGATGCTGGACTTAGTTCTTGTAGGTCTCTTAGCTTGGGTTTAGCATAAAAATGGTCCTTCAAATAGCATCATGGAAAAAAGTATGGGCCGTCAAATCTGGTGAATAGAGAGGCCCTCACAATGTCTTATAGCCCCCTAATACAGAGAGGTCAGACGTTCAAGAAACTCCATTGGTGGCGATTCTAGTGTAGCCTGTGTTGTATGTGGAGATGTTTTTTTCATTTGGTTCCAAGCTAGCCTGTGTAACTCTGGAAGGTAACTCCTGAATCATCTGCTGATAATTGATCCAATTCTCCGTGTTTGTTCTGCAATCGTCATCCTCATACATTTTTCTCTATGGCTATTTGAAGGAGTGTTTGAATGCTCATTCCAAGCAAAAAGACCTTGAATAACTTAAGGGCAACATCCAAAAATTAATCAAAAACATTCCACCGGAATTATTATCAAATGTGATGAACAAAAGGATACAGGCTGTCCTCGAAATATGAGGTTACATTGATTATGTGGTGTAAAACGAAAAGGGCTGAAGCACCAAAAAGGCAAGACTGAAATAAAAATGATGTATTGGGGAGAAAACTTTCATGTTTTGGCTACATGACCATGCAAAAATGTCTAAAAATATTGATTGGTTTATCTTTGCTGTTGATACACTTTGGGGTACATTTTTTGAGACACCCTGTATATGTTTAATGATTATATTGTAATAAGGGAAACGTGTAGTTAATACATATGTATATCTATAATTATTATGTTGTGTTATTTTGTGTTGTCTTTCATAAACTAGAGCTTTAATAATCTTGTTGGCTGTATTGAAAGTAAAAATAATATATGTCGACATATTGCGTTTTAGAACGATTTGCACGTCTAACCTCATTATTGCTCTTTATATGAAACGCCTTGTGCACGCGCCTAGGGGATGCTATCTATCCATATGATATCCACCCTGTTTGGATCATTCCGCATTCATCCTTTTGCTTTGTTATCAAATAATAGTATATAATATGAGAACCATTAATGTCAATATTTTCAAAAACAATAATGCAATTGTTCTGTTTATTGATGGTTAGAGCATACAATATCCAATAATGTTGTTTGATGAAATATAATTCGATTGATGACGCTAAATAAATAAATCAACGGGCCATGCCAGCCATCACGTTAGTCTATAACTTTTTAATTAAAGTATGAAAAATTTAAAATATAGAAAATGATATCTTAGCCAGAGAGGAAATGAATTACAGTGCAACTCTCTCAAAAGTTGTAATTTATGACATCATAAAGGGAAAGAGTCACATTAGTGAGTTTGTGAGACAATGTTTTTAACCATTGCTAACTTCTTTTAATTTTCATCTTACTTCTTAAGATTTCCACAAGTTATTCACAATATTTCCAAAATATGCCTTAAAATTTAATGATCATCTTTTGAAGGTAACAATTCAGATTGAAAAATTATATAGTTTTAGAAAACAAATCAGACAAGTATTTTTTCTCCGTATCATATGTTCGGAATGCAATGGGGTTTCTGTTTTAATGTTTTGAATACTTGTTGTTAAATTAACCAAGCTTTCCTTTGTATATTATTGAGAGGTCTAAGAAAATGCTGTATGTACAATTTTGTTCCAACAAGGTTCGAAAAACTATTTTATTTCATTCTCAAGAATTGGTTGAAAGGAACAAAAACAGTTGTACTAAAAAAACAAAAATAGTTCACAAAAACAATTTTATAAAATATGCATCAATAATTTTAGAATTAAATTGTTGTCAATCAGTGACAATTACATAAGGGACAATGTTTTCATTTATTGGTTTTACAGAAGAACATTATGTTGAATTTAGTTCGCCATATCGATACCAATTCTCTAGAGAAAACTAAGCATTATTGCAAAAATCGTCAATGTTCTTTGGGCGTTTTTGGAAAATAGGCATGACAAGGGATAACATGAGCCAAAAGCATTCTAAAATGGAAACACTTTTTGTCAAGTGTCTGTTCTACCTTTAATTATACATTACTAAACAAAAATGCTAATCTCATTTTGATTCTTAAGCTTAATGGCAAGATGAAGTGGATGCTTTTAACAGTTTTGGGGATATTGCCCTTCAGTCCGACTCAGGCACAACCACCACCGCCACCACCAACACTGACATTACCCCTGCGTACAACACCACCAACAACAGCACCTTGGATAAAACCGACGTAAGTAACGCAACAGTTTATTAAGAAAGAAGTTAGGTAATTAAAAAAATCAAAGACGGGTGAAATACTGTATAGCATATTGGAGATAAAGGTGGATAAAGCTTACTCTTAAAATCACTTGTCACAACCAATGTTGGTTCTAACTTTATGGGGCTAGAACATAATGATCTGGAAGCAATAGATCTCCAATCCCAGTCTTGTAATTTTTGAAGGTGCGTTTGGATGAATACAATGCTTAAAGTCGTATTTGTAATGATGTTATTTTTGATATTCCGATTTTAGGTTTTAACTCTCACCATTGGAGTATTTACTTACTATTTTACTTTTCTATTTAGTCGTCGTTTCAGTTGCAATAATTCTCGTCTCATCTATTACTTCTTTGATCATTCGTCCACTTGGGAAATAATTCAAATACTCGAAGTAGAGTGAATATCAAATCGATACGTGAATGTATGGTTTACTTTTTAAGTTTTGTCATTTCAAACTTAAAGAGGCTCTTTGTCATAGAATAGCACAATCAAGACCCCTCTGGACCTTTTCGCATATTGAGTTTCACTACATATTCGCCCATCTACTTACCAAAAGAGAAGTCCAAAATCCCCCTCTTTCAGTGTAAATTTTGCGATTGTGCTGGCCGATCTAATTATTTTCGCAGAAATCAATTCAACCTGAAGTTTGAATATTTCGGGAAAGTCCTCCTGTTATCTGATTTGTCGTTGAACTTGTTTATCATGAACCTGATTGGCTGCCTGGTTTAAGGCACTTGTTGGCGCTTGTGTGACTCAGTGGGGGTTCCCCTCGCTAGTCGAGGATTCGATTGTGTTTAATTCTGGAGGTTGGTTGTTCTGTTGATTATTTCAATATTTCATATATATATTAATATACCGAAAAGTTATTCTCAAGATATCCATGGTATGTGAGATATTATATGAGCAATAACAATAGGACATCACTAATTGTCTGGGGAAGAAACCTATGGTATAATGCCTCTCTAAGTAATGATAATTACTGCTTGAAATCCTGAAAGTATAAACATTAGATGTTTGGATACGTTTCATTTTTTTCCTGATTCCAGCAGCCCGTTGATAGTACTTTCATTTAGTAATTATTAGAAGTAACCAAAACCACAGACAATTTAGAATGAAGAACACTATTTTGTGTTTCAAGGTCTCATGTTTGAAAAAATCTGTTTCTAGCTTATCAATCATTTCCATGTGATGATAAAAGACTGGCAGTGCATTTTGAATGTTTTCTTTGAAACATGAATTTTCCTTAAGTTTGTATTGACTTCTGACCATGTAGATTGAAGTGTCGTTAGAGGGTTGGAGAGTGAAAACGATGACTCCGAAAGCCACGTTAGATCAAAGTCGGCGGTGACACGATGCAATCATTTCAGAATGAATTATACTTAATGAACACATAGTCAATTCAATATATTCATTTGTTTTCTATGACATAATTATTTCAGGTATTTGGTTGTGACTCCAAAAGTGTTAAGACGTGGAATAGACCTTGAGATAGGAGTATGTATTCTCTATGGCCTTGGACCAGTGACGGTGACTGCAAAGGTTACCAAAAAAGGACAAACATATGTGGGAACTGCCACTATAGCACCTGGTGAGAAAGTCGTTGTCAGGGAGGGGGGTGATGCCCTTAGTATATTAGAAATGATTGGTCATAGTCTGTTTTGGTATTTACGTGCAGATCCTCCAGCCATTTTGTCTTTCGTCATCCTACGTGTATGCAGTATATAAAATGAGCAAGTTTTCAAATTATTAATGGGGGACGAACACATTTTCAAATCAGTATAACCAAATGATCAAGACATCTCGACATAAAAAACACTACACGATACTTTAAAGGCATGCCTAATACAATTGTTGCCTCTATACTATAGAAAGTATTGGATATTTCACAAAAATTATTTTGCGGACACAAACAAAAATGTTACAATTTAACACAATTATATAATATTTTAATATAGTGTTAACTAGAATATCCGATTTCGATTTCCGATATTTTTTGAAACACGATGTCCAAAAAATGTCATTTCAATCTTTTTCAGGAACCTCAGCTGTTATCGCTATACCTGTAAGTACCCGTATATCATATGTATAAGTATTTTAATAAACGGTAATATTTTCCTATACAAAATAAGAGCATTGACTTACCTTTGATAGCACAGACTTGACCATGGTATCATAAGATGGTAATACCTATGTTTATTATTAGATGAGTGAACTTTTAAGGTGCCATGGAATCATTTAGAGCAATATATTGGGCACATTTTCTGAAAAATTCGAAAGATTCTGTTCAGTGACCTTTCCTACCTCCTTCTTTGAGCTATTTTTCAGTCACATTTTCAGAGGGCTGAAAAGGTTATTTCATCATGTTTAGGGTCATTATGACCATAAATATTGTGATCCTAGACCTGTAAATGGTATTTAGAACTAGTTGAATTGACTGGAGGTCAAAACAGAACTTTGTTATCTTTGTTCAAAAAAATGTCTAAAAATGCAAAAGTTTTTGTCACTTCTTGTTTTGTCATTTCCTGTTAACTTCAATAGCACCTTAAATTGTAATATAGAGTCTTCATATACATCTTTAATATCAGATAAAAAATTGTTGCCCAGATTCCTGCCAGTGCAGATGAAGGGGTCTACACATTGACGGTATCGGGTTCAGGAGGTTTACGCTTCAAAGATACCACAACATTGACCCTTGACCCCCATAGTGTCTCGGTTTTCATTCAAACTGACAAGGCTATCTATAAACCTGGACAAGAAGGTTAGTTTTCTTATTTGTTCATGATTTAGCCTTGGCCAATCATTTCCAATCAGTTTCCTTATTTGCTGCTCATTATTTACAATAATACGCCGAATTTATAATTAATCATACTCAATCATACATGTACAGGGTGGTCCAAAAATGGAATACTCGTATTTCAAAAATAAATATTGATTTTCTTGATGAAAACATGTCATATTATATACCAGTGGATAGGGAATTTACTGATCTTTAATTTGGTATATCATAAGTTCAAATTCATTATAATAGAGAGGTTTCGCAAAACGATTTTTAGGTCAACGGATCCGTAACCGTAACGTATTTACCAGATTTATGCGAAGTGAGTTCAATCTATACGTGAAACGATACGGAAAACACGAAAAATGAGGCTTTTCTACGTTGGTCATTTACGTATCCCATTTTATCCTTCGATTATAATGATTTTAGTTTTAAAGGTATCACCATATTAACAAGTACAATGTGTTGTGTATAATTTGACTTAAATTTGGTGAATTAATTTGTTTATTGTTTGACATAAATCGAGCTTTTCAAATGGTATGTTCAATTCATTTTACACTCTATCGAATGGTATCGCAATAATTACAGTGTACACTTTCGCACAGCGTTTTAGCTGCCCGTATCAAAGTCCGTAACGTATCGATGGAGAAAAAGTGTACTCAATACGTTTGTCTAGCCGACAGCAATACCGAAAGTACGTAAACTAACGCGTTCTGTGCGTAGTTGTTTCCGTATCTATTTTGTCCTTCAAATCTTGATATTTTTTTCCCAAAATGTATAATTTTAGTAACTCACATATGTTACCATGCATATCGTGCTAATTTTGATGAAATAATAGGCTTATCTGTCGATAAATTTGATTATTAGTAGGTGGCCTGCAATTTTTACGAATAGTCATATTTGTTGGTAGGCAGCCGTACGGTCTATAATTTCTAGGATCAATGGCAATACCGTAGTCAATTTCTTAGGACCATCAAACCAGTGGTTAGCAGCTATAAAGGCCACCTGAATTTATATGTTGTGCCCCAAGTCACGCTCTAAATTCATATAGAGCAGGGTTTTGAATTTGTTTGAGTATAGCAGCTTGGTCCTGGCCTCAAATGTGATATTAGGTCTAAAGGTGGCGTCCCGTATCCAGCTTTTGCCAAGGGGGAGCTTTTTGACAATTGGCTAAAGATGATCATAAAATTTCCAGCCATGGGAGCTTCTTCCCCTGGTATGACTTGAACACGCATCAAGTCGTGCAATCTGTGTCAAATAGTAAGCGGCCTCGTTTGGGGGACTTTGGAGACTAGTGCCTTAAAGCCTTAGTGCCCAAGCATCCCCGAACCACCGTCAGTCATTATATGACAGGTAGAGTATATTTAGTTGATCATAGGATGAAGATATTGACGTGTCATTTCCTATTTTCATTTTTCAAAGAAAGGCCTGACATCCCGATCCTGTAACGGACCTTCTCCCTTACATATAAGTCACGGTAGGGGCCCCAGATGTATCTAACTCTTGGGTGGTGGTCCATGATGTGTTCTTCATTAGCAGCCTTGTGCATTTGATGATAGAGATATGGGGGGGGGGGAGTGGTTGTAATTCAAGTAGATATCGGGTTGTCCCCGATTGTGTTTTGCGATTGTCTCCAGTTGGAATATGTTAGTTGAGTATATCAATATAATTCAGTTGAGCCTGGTTGTGTTTTATTGCTTGTGCCTGATTTTGTTTTGATTGTTTGGTTTTGGAAAATTGTGTCGTGTTACTTGAACGATGGGTTGTGTTTGATTTTGTTGGTTTATCATTGGGTTGTGCCAAATTGTGAGGTGACAATTTCACAGTTTGTTGTGTTTTCGTGGTTGTTATTTTAGTTGTGTTTTATTGGTTGTGCCCAATTGTGTTTTAATTGTTTAATGTTGGGCTGTGCACAATTGTGTTGAGTCGGTTCAACAATTGGATGTGTTTGCCTTTGTTGTTTGATCATTGGGTTGTGACATATTGTGTTAATTTGACAGTTGGTTGTGTTTTGGTGGTTGAAAGGCAGGTTGTGCTATACTGGCTTTGGTGCTGGGTTATGCTCTGTTGCGTTCTATGTATGTTGTTACTGGGTTATGTTCTAATGCACTGTTGTATGTTTGGTGACCTAGGTTGTGTTTGGTTGTAATCTATAGGTTATATATGTCATGTTTGATCGGGTTGTGGTGTATTATTGGGTTAAGATACAAATGGCCAGTTTAGGGTATTATGCTGTTGGTATATCAGTTGGTTGGTATATTCAGGGTAGAATCGAAGGGTATAATAATGTTTGTACACATTATTAGTATGTTATAGGTTTGGTACCTACATTTATTCATATATAATGCAATCTGATCTTAAAAGTACAGGGTGGTCAAAAAACCGGAAACCCTGCATATTCCTCATATCTTTTTCATTTTAAGAAATTGCTCCCTGATATTTCACACATTTGTAAATCATTCAATTTCCTACTACACTTATATGAGTAAATAGGTGTTGCAATAGAGGTCAATATTTGGCTGGATGGATTTCACTCAAGCTTGATATGACATAATGAATACTTATACCATTTGTTCAGATGGCGTATGCTCCTTCGGAACTAAGTATAGCATTGATAAGTATACTTACAAGGGCATACTTAAAAAAGATAATGAGGTCCAAAGGGATATGATGATGTTATGTCAAGCGTGCATGCTTTCATTTAAAGTCAAAACGCACTTGCTGCATTCTTAATATTCTCAGGAAAAAATAAGTAAACGCAAATTTACACACTAATTTCAAATATCAAATATCATTTCTACAGAAAACAGAAATGTTTACGCATTTTGTAGCATAATGCAGTCACTGCACTTCACTTAATGGCCACTATTTCAGCCTATCTGTGTTCAAACCCTTAGATATTTCCCAAAGTATGGTTTGACAAACAATTTGTTATTGTAAATCTAGAAATTATCTTTTCTGGCCAATGGGATATTTTTTATTTTGAAATTGATTTCATGAATTTAATAAATGACCCCTTGGGGATGAAAGGGTTAATATGTATTTTTGCTTTCACCAATAATACTTATGGAGTTGTGATTCTGAAAGCTGACACTCTCAATGGTGTATTGAAATCTTAGTGCAGATGAATTATTTTATTCTACCCTAGTTTTCACTACTATTAAACACGGATTGAAATGCGTTTATAATTACGTACTTCAAAAAGCGAACTGCGAAACGAAAATTATCGAAAAACGTTTCCGTAAACGTAACGAGATACGGATGCGGATACGTTTTAGCTAACCCGTTTTGCGAAACCTCTCTATTGTCTGTCAACCAGCGTCCATAATATAAATGACATCATTTTCATTTCAAAACGGGGTTTTCAAAACTTGCAAAAACATGTTTTATTGTCAACTTTATTTACATAAGCAGACGTTCAATATGTCCACCATTTTGACCAATTGTACCCCTCAATTTTGGCCTAAACTGGTCAATAGCATCATTGATATGCTGTTAAGACAATGGATTTCACTTCTCATAAATTTAATTAGTCCTCAAGAGACAGAATAGATGTAAAGGATTCATGGTACACAAGTTCTGTTAGTTCTCCCCATACGTGGTAGTCGCATACGCTGGGTGATCATGTGATCTGGTTTGGGGGAGGCAGCGATTAGGGGGATGAATCTAGGCACATTTTCCTTTAAACATTTGACACTCTTGTGAGATTTATTGCTTGGAGCCCCATCTTGTTGGAAAATGTAATGATTCGAGAATGAGCTCATATCAGGATGGTCTAAAAACAACATAATTAGATAATGCGATGTCAACGTCTGCGACTACCACGTATTGGGAGAACCTACAGAATCGGTTTCCCATGAACCCCTTACATCTACTCAGTCCCTTATTAAGGATAGACTTAATGAGAAGTGGAATTCATTGTCTCAACAGAATATCGATGATGTTTTTGACCAATTTAGGCCAAAATTGAGGGGTACAATTGATCAAAATGATGGACATATTGAACGTATGTTTGTGTAAATAGAATTGACAAAAATTTTGTTTTTTTGCAAGTTTTAGAAAACCCGTTTTGAAACTAAAATGACGTCATTTGTATGACGGACGCTGGTTGACAGACATTATAATAAATTTGAATTTATGATATACCAAATTAAAGATAAGTAAATTTCCCCCTATCCACTGGTATATAATATGACATGTTTTCATCAAGAAAATCAATATTTATTTTTGAAATGCGAGTGTCCCAGTTTTGGACCACCCTGTATAGTATAAGCCATAAATATGTTTTACAAACTGTTGTCATAAAGTGTTTCATATTCGCATAACAAGAGTGATCAACAAGCTTTTCACATACTTTATGAGCATTATCAATGTTGTTTTGTTCAATAACCGGATGTGACCACGTGACAATCATGTGTAAATTATGATGTAGAAATGGCGGTTATCACTACCTCACTTTAAGGCGAAGGCTAGGTAAATCAAAAGTTAAAAAAATGGTAGCCATATTTTTTTGATAAAGACACATGGTTTTAAAATCTGTTTACCTTGTATATGAATTGTATATCCTGACTAAAGAATCATATCAAAGTTAACATCGCACATAAACGGTTTTTTTTCATAACTATGAATTGTAGGTGTATGGGTCCCTAAAGCTGACATGACAACTTTGAAGTTAGGTTAATTTTTGAAAACGTCAAGGAGTAGGGGTGTTTCGGTGTCACATTTGTATTACTCCAAAATTTCCAAAAGTCATCTTACCTTACCAAGGAACATCAAAGGAGCATGAAAATGTGTATTTCTTGCATTGTATGGGTATGAAACAAAATGGTGGACATGGAAGATTTATAAGAAACTATGGATTGAGCTTTATTATACTCTAACAATGCAAGAAGTGCACATTTCATGCTCCATCGTTGTTCCTTGGTAAGGTAAGATGATTTGTGGAAATTTTGGATTCTTGCAAATGTGTGACTGTTGCAAGGCTACTCCTTCAAACTTTCAAATTTAGCCTCACTTCACACTCTTTATGCTAGCTTTGGGTATCCATGCACCTCCAATTCATAGTTATGAAAAATGCGTTTACATATAAGGAAAACATATACAAAATCTTGTCACTTTATCAAAAAAATCTGACTGCCATTTATTTGTACTTTTGATTAACTTTAATGTCACCTTAACATTTTAAATAGTAAACTTTAGAACTATAAAGGGCTTATTTCAGCTAACAATGGTAGAGCAATATGGTCACCAACCGAAGAAACTAAATTTTTTGTTCTTTCAGTTAAGTTTCGAGTGTTTGGTATTAAGCCAGACTGCAGTCCTCTTGATGAACCCTTGGACATATTCATCTCGGTAATATATTTCATGATAATTTGATTGTCATCGCCTATTGACATACTTGATTATAACATTAATACCAATATTATATGATCAATTTGAACATTTAACTCGGTATAGGTATTGTGTGCAATATGTATGATAGTAGATATGACGCAATATGAGATGTATCACGTAAACGTATCACCGGTGATTTAGGATAAGAAACAACAACAAGTTCTTATCAATCAAAATTACCCGATTAGGAATTCATTTATCAAATGAGGAGGGAAATTAGCGCCACAGATTTCGGACAGTCACTTATGTTAAGTGATTAACTGCGTGTCAAAACTCAACATATTGATACAACAAAAATTGAAAAAGCAGGGGTGGAAGGGGTTGAAAATCAGAACAACGTTTCAGAAAAAATATGTGTGTGAGTTGTTTGCACCTCCCCTGTCTCAAAGTCGAAATTATTTTATCATCTCTATGAGTGCTTTCCCTGAAGGTAATGCATTGGTCTAACATATGCACCTGTTGAAATCGTCAGAAAATAGCCACAATCCAACATATGACTGTCCGAAATCTGTTGCGATACTTTTCCCCCTCCTTTAGTATTTTATCTTCCTCATTTTGTGAATTCCTCTATATTTCCCCCTCATTTAGGATAAGAATAACAACAAGATAAAACAATGGTTGAATCAGAAGGAAACATCTGGGGTCATCTCAAAGTCTCTACAGTTATCAGACCAACCACCACTGGGAGACTGGAAGATCACAGTAACAGTTTTGGTACGTACCCTTGTCTATAAATTTCATAGGACGAGCTGTATATTCAAATCTTAAGTTGACTCTTATTTCACACATTCACTAGTTCAAGTTGGAAACTATAATGAATTATACTAGACAGTATGTAGTAATTATATTTTTGATATCGTGTTAATTTTTACTTTTGTCAATATTCCATCTTTTTTAAACATATCATTGATTATATTGCATGTGTCTGTTAATCTGAAATACAAATAACATGTCTAATGGCGTTGTGATGAGAAACGTTTTTCAAAACACACGGGCTATATTATGACTTATATATATGTTTTTACATTTTCCCTCAATGTAGTCTTTAATTTTAGGGAGAGAAAACAACCAAGATTTTTATAGTAGAGGAATTTGGTAATTACCCTTTTATTACCTAATGAGATAGGCCTCATTTACGTTCGACTTGCATTGTATACTTTAAAAATAAAATCCATAACGATATAAGGGGCGTAGCCAGAACATTTCAAGGGGGGTGCTGGTTTTAGGGTTTACATCACTGCGAGAGAAGCGAGTCACTTTACATTGTCACTGTTCCACAACTGGCTGACTTACTGCAGTTAGCTTCATTCAAGATGGTTGCAAAACTTTCGATTTCGCTAAACCTCAGTCTGATTTCAACTGAACTTAGTTGAATCCTGATTCCAAATGTTTCGCCATGCAAACTAATAAAGCTGCAATTGTAAACAACCACAGATAAATGCCCTAACAACTATGACATGGGAGAATTTTAAAGAAAAAAGCTTCAATTTCAGTTGAGTCATTCTAAGTGAAGCCGTTTATTAGTGTACAAATAGTGACTGCCATTGAGGGAAATAGTGCAAAATATTTTCCTCAAGGGAATATCCTGTCCACTGACATGTTCCCGAGGCTGCAGGCCGAGGGAACAAGTCAGTGGACAGAATATTCCCGAGAGGAGAATTTTTACACTATTTCCCGAAAATGTGGCAGTCAATATTTGTTTTATTTATTACCTGATAAGTACTCTGTAAACAAAAACAAAATGAGAAGTCTTTTCATTTCAATATCAAATGTTCACAGGTTCTTATTGGCATTTAAAGGCATATTACCGTTCAACTCCTATAATCTCAGATTTGGGGGAAGATAAAATGTACTATTGACTGGTCACATGACCTAACTGGTGATTAGTACAATTCATCTTACCTGAAAGCAGGGATTTAGGACTTTCCAGGGAATTAGTTCATCTATTCCATGTCATGTGACCATGAATAAGCCAATGAGCATCTAGAATACATTTGAGGTATATAATAATGTTTTCTAACAATCATAGTTCTATTAGTTTACATGGCGAAACTTTTGGAATCCAGATTCAGCTTAGTTTAGCTGAAATCGGAGGTTTGTCAAAATCAAAAGAATTTCGGCAATCATCTTGAATGAAACTAACTGCAGTTAGAGTCATCCGGCTGTGGAGCAGTGATTTTATATGGTGCATATAAGCATTTAAATTGATATTTTCAACAGATTTTAGAAAATTGCTTTTTCTTTTTGTTGGGGTGAGCGTGCGATTGCATCCCAACTGGCTACGCCTATGTATTATTGTTAAATTTACACATACCCCTGAGTTTAATAATTTAAGGGAATATTTATATCCATAAACCGATATAGGATATATCATGTATGTAGCTTCACATTTACTTATTCCATTGTTTCCCACTTTTAATTTCAGTGTTACCCAAGTTTGAAGTAAAAATTAAGCCTAGCAGAGCCTATATATTATACAACGGGGATAATGATGATAAGGATATTTCAGGAAAGATCGAGGCATTGTAAGTTAGATAAAGAACAGTGCGGTTTATGATAAAACAAATCGTGACTGCCACATTTTTCTCTCTTGAATATCACGTCCACTGACTTGCCAGTAGACAGGGTATCCCATCGCGAAAAATATTTTGAACTATTTCCCCCATGGTAAATTTTAAATGTTATTTAAGGATTTAGCCTTTGTCTCAGTGCATTGTGTGCTTAACCATTTCACAAAGATGCTGTTTCCAAATCTTTACATGATCCCATAGGGGGAATGACATGGACGAGCTGAATCCATAAATGTCATTACTAATAATTATGAAATGTTGTTAAATTAAACAACATTATCATCAAAACAATTTATAACATATCCACATGGGTATTTATGCCAATAGGTAAATGTTTTCTTTTTAATTAAGGTATACATATGGAAAGAATGTAAAAGGAAAAGTGACACTTCAATGTTCTTTAAGAAATATCAGAGGAATGGTGAATAAGACATACCAGGTAAAATGATGTAATAACATAAATATAGTACTATACAAATATTGAATGATGTTGAGTGCAATACTATACAAATATTGAATTATGTTGAGTTGAAAATTATACAAATACTTAATTCTGGGGAGGTGAATATCTGTATATATTTCTGAAGGTGTATTTACTGCAGCCCAAAGGGCGAGGTGAATACATCCCTAAGAAATATATACAGATATTAAACGATCACAGAATTCAATATTTGTTTTATTATTTCCTCATTAAAGTAGCACACATTATTAAAGTTAGAAGCACTCAATATTGTTATGATCTGACGTTTAGTTTCAACGTATTTCAAAACGTTTGCCAATATTCTGTTATAAATCACGATCTCTGTCACACCATAATATATAAAAATTAGATTCTGATCTCCCATGTTAAAGTCCATAGTCTCCGTGTTTTGATAAGTTGACATTTTGAATACATTTGTAAATTCTTTATCCCGCGTTTATTTTATGTAGCATTGAACCTTTTCTTAACTTGGGAGGACTTCCTGATTCTTTACTAAATTCCCGGGAATTAAGTGATGTGACGTCATTTTTACCCTTTCCCGACGCTAATATAAGAGGAAGATTTTGGCCTTGGTGACGGATAAGTTCGAACGGTTTTTAGGGGGAAAATTACACACGCCCCAGGACCTATACCTTGAATTTTATCACTGAAATATGATTTTTAGTAAGGATTGTCACATTAAGAAAACTTTGGTGCAAAAATACAAAATAAAACTGGAGATATTGTCATTTCATTTGTGTATATGAATAAAAATAATGGTGCCAAAAGGAGCCTATCGTCCTGAAAGGTATTACATAATAGGGCTCCATATGGAGCATATCGTCGTGAAAGAGCTATATGATATTGACACTCGGTCGCTGCGCTCCCTCGGTCAATATCATATTGCCCTTCAGTCAATATCATATTGTCCCTCGGAATAAAACCCATATTCAATCCCGACCAGAAATAACCTATTTATTCCATAATACACCCCTCTAAAATGCTACATTTGGATAATGCAAATAACCAGGAAAAATAACCGGGAAACCGAAAATAGGTTAAAATGCTCCAATACGATTTTTCCCGGGGACAATACGATTTTTTCATGTAATACGCTCCAATACGATTTTTATTCCTTCATATTTCCCTGGGAAAACAGTAGTATTATGGAATAAATAAGTGGTATTCACTAAAATTGACGTCACTGCCGGTAATCGAATACACTCTTCTCACGTTTTATAAGCAGGGAAACATGTACTACCGCTATATATTTTTTGTCACATGGTATCTAATTGACCAATAAGAGAACGAGTATCACGGCATGGCGCTTTTCAAAAATTCCACATCCCATGTAACACCATCATGGGGAACAGCGTCGTCAAATTTCCTTTTTTATTTGTAGATTGATGGCAGAGTAGCATTTTCTATTCCAATTTCGGAGCTCCTTGCCGTAACGGGAAAAACAATTATTCACTATTACGACATTATATGTATAGCAGAGGTAAAAGAAGATTTGACAAATATAGTTTTGTCGTCAGAAAAACTTAAAATACCGATGCATCAATACGATTTTAAGTTGGAATTCATGGACGCATCAGCTGATAATCTAAGAGCCGGGCTATCATACATTGCATATGTAAGTACATATATAATTGACACTAAGAAGCATGCATTTAGTCAAAATAAAATACAAAATCAATAGGGACGAATTAAATTAATAGACTAGGATATTGAGTGAAAATTCCCATATAACGAAGATATGCAATCACATTTGTGTTAAATAGAAAAAGAAAAAATTCATCAAAAACACTGCAAGGGAAATAGCTCCAAAACGAGGACAGAAAAACTATATCTTAGTTTTGGGAGTGATGGCTTAGACCATGTCTTGATACATCACCCGTTGTGAACACGCATCAAGTCATGCAATCTGTGTCAAATAGTGAGCGGTCTCGTTTTGGGGACCTGGGAGACATAATGTAGTGTCTAAGCTTCCCGATCGAACCACCGTCAGTGATAATGTGACAGGTAGAGTATATTTACTTGATCCTAGGATGATGACATTGGTGGTGTCACTTCTATTGTCATTTTTTGTAGAGAAAGGCCGATATTAACCCCATATAACATCCATCTTTGGACATATTATTGTTTAGTATTCGTGCCCTACCTGATTTGTTACGGATGAGCACCACACAACCGGAGATGGCAAAGCGAAATTCTTTAGGGTGAATAGCTCAGTGGTAGGCCACTCGTTCGGAAATCGAGGGGTCATTGGTTCGATCTCCACTAGAGTGGACTTTTCACACCAGCTCTTATCGCAGAATTTCATTTGGTGTTTTCATTAACTAATTAGGGCTATGGTTGAAGAATCTGGAAGCCAAAAATCGTTATCCGATTTGTTATAGGTAAAGGCATCGAGGCCTGATGGTTCACCTCTTGGTGTTGGACATAATGAGAGAATCTCATTTTACGCAACGACGAACCACAATCGATTTTTCGGCCGGTAGGAAATGCTTGTTAATAAAAACCTCACATTGGCGTATGGATAGACTTACATTATCATTACTCCTTTTTGAAACATCTTTCCAATTATTTCTTTCACTTTGTAATTTAAAACATTTGTTTAAAATATAAGACCGTTGAAA